CATATACGACGCTTACGCGAGCGATATTTTTGTAGTAACTTACGATAATTCACTCCGCGTCTCTGCCAAAGACCCTCGTTTACGCGGAGTGAAGTATCGTAAGTTACTACAGAATTCCGTTTACGCGGAATGAATCATTGTAAGTTACTACATAATTAACGCTCTCGTAAACAGTAAATAGTTAATGAAAATCAGTTCTGTTAGCATTTTAGTGATTCGTGCATGATTATTAATATTAATTAATAATTACAAACGCACTAGATTCTCGTCAACTTAAATTAAGGATCGTCGACTTCCCAAAGTCGAAGGACCTAGCATCGCGTCGCTGGTCTTTGTTATATATCTTATGTACGACGTAATAAAATTTAATAGCTATGATAGAAAAATGTTGGATTATAAATTTGAAAATTTATATTTGCAATCTCCGCAGTTGATAGTACCAAATAGAGTCAAGTAGAAGCAAAGCTGATGAAGGACGGTAAATAGCTCTCCCCCTCCCTCTCCCTTTCTCTCTCCCTCTTTCTCTCCCTCTCTCTCTTTCTCTCTCTCTTTCTCTCAAGGACGTTGAGATCGTTGGCAAAATAACGTATATAGGTTCAAGAAACTCCAACGCAAATCCTTGGTGTATACCAAATAAAGATCATAATAACTAAGGCGAACAAGTGAAGGATGTTAATATCGTTATGCAAGCTTTGTATTTTTATAAAGTTTTTTGTGTGTAAAATCTTATAGATTTTATTTCTTCTTATTTAAAAATTATTCTTAGACGTCACATCTCTACTTCCAGAATTCTTGCGTCGTGTCTTCAACTTGAAAGGTTGATGACGCACTCATAACGAAGCACGTCATCGAGTGAACAAGCGCCTCAGTCTTAAGTTTAAGATGTCAACAAAGATCTTAATTTATATTGGTTAAAAGAGCGTCTTGACGATAATCGAACCAAATTGTGGTCGTATTGTCTTGACGATTATAATGGCCAGTAGAGGAAACATCTTTATTGGTTGGTACATCAGCTTCTTCTCGCCATTTTTAATTTACACAATAAAATAATTCCTGTAATAATAAAACTGGAATAGTATGCTGCCTTTAAGCCGCGTATACAAAATTTAATATATTTCTCAGCAATCTTTCTATTGATAATGTGTTATAAATATCACTATTTATATGTTTATTTACTTTTTTGTAAGTTTCAAAGTCTTCAATAAGTATTCTTTCTATTTCTCCTGCCTACCATCTGATAAATACGTGAATAGATGTTATAGCCTTTGCTAAACAAAGCCATTTGGAATAAAAAAAAGACTTGTAATATTATGTAAACTTCCGTTTTCGTTTTTTTCAAAAATATTTATATTTATAAATATTTTTGTAAATATTATATAAGATCATATATATCTCAAATATAAAGTGTTAATGACTTTTAGTAACAAAAAGATTTTGTCTTTTGTAAACTATTTGCGTTTCCATTCGATTTTTCACAAAACTGTAATTTGTACACTTATTTCAAAGTCAATAATTAACAATTTCAAAAAATCTTTGGATAATTTTTTTTTCTGCATCTTTTTTTTAAGCATTCTGCAATACAGATGTTTCCTATTCGTTTAATTAATGTTAATAAACTAGATGCAATAGAGTAAGTGATTTATACATTTGGGCCCGTATTTAAAACGCGCTTCTAAAGATATTAGCGCGCTTTTTTATCATTCTATTCTTGCTTTACGTCTAATGAACGTTAATCAATGAAGATAAAATGACGAAGAATCGCGCTGACATCTTTAAAAACATGTTCTAAATATGACTCCAAATGTATAAAGCGCCCGCAATTGCATCTACTTTATCAACACTAATTAAACAAATAGGAAACATTTTTATTGCAAAATGCTTGAGGAAAAAAGATGCAGAAAAAAAGAAATTAACCAAAGATTATTTTTCTTTCTTCATTTTCTTTTGAAAAAATAGTGGATTTTACAACTTCATCATTGTGCACTATTACTAAATGCTGTGCGAGTTGAGATTGCAGTTTCAAACAAAAAACACAACAGTGCCGTTTGGACTTAACATTACTTTTTTCAACATACATCTCTTCAGCTGCGTTCCAATATTCATCGTCAGTACTGGAAATCTATAGTGTACGTTACGTAAATTATAGATTTTCAGTACTTGCAGTGAATATCGGAATGCAGCCTTCATCTTTGCATGCTGATGTACCGATTATACTTATTCTTGAAGAATCTAAACTGGATTGTGAGGATATAGATTTTCTTCCAGCTGATTTTTTATATGGACCGATATTATTATCTGATAATGTACATTCATTTTCTGATGACACGTACTCTAATTCACTGTTTCCGTTATCGTTATCTATACTTAGTATGACAGAAAAGGAAATCATTTTAATATAAATAGATTTTAGATTATATTTTTAAATGTAAGTACATAGCAATCATTTTTTGTAAGTGCATTTATATTAAATAAAGATGCTTGTAATACCGTAAATTTTTATGTTAAGATGATGCTGGAGTCGTCTGTACTACCGCTCTGTATACCGATATTTTCTGTTTATTTCTCTTATAAGCTTCAAAATCATAAACTGTGAAAGTTTTAAGGGAATCCTATAGTGACAGTAATTACTAACATTTAGTTAAAAGCATACAACTTTTAATTGGCTTTACGGAATTGCAAAATTCTTTTACAGAATTAAAGTACGCACAAAAATGTTGAGGGCTAAGGTTGGTTTTACATCAAAAACAAAAAAAAATTGAAAATTTGGACACCTAGAGCTGTCACTGATGACAATATTTGCTTATACAAAAATACTACAGTTTATATATATACAAAATGAGATTTACAAGCCCTCTAGGGAAAACATTTAAGAACAATATCACGCAATTAGAACTAAAATTAAAAGCCTTTTATATGTGCAGGTTGATAGGATAAGCAGTATTGCGTGTAGTAAAAGATGGCGCAGCGATCGAACAAGGACAGATTACTATAGTTATACAAGGACAGATATAGAGAAAACAGGATTAGAAATGTTGACATTATCGACATCGAGGAAGTTCGGACTTCGCTATAGGATCCCCTTAACGCCTCCGCACAATGGAAAATATAAGAAACAAGGAACAGATATTAGCAATTAAAAATAAGAAATTAGGAATAAAGGTGGTGTAGCATTAATACATGGCTTTTGATAGGTTAAAAATCTATTGCCTGTGTTATTCCCTATTTCTGTTGCCTGTATTTTTCATCGTGCATTCAACTTTATTCTTGATTCTTTAGTCCTAATCGCTAATATCTATTCCTTGTTCCTTATATTTTTCATTGTGCAGAAGCCTTTACAATATTCTTATATATTATTCAAATATGGATAGATACTTTCAATTTGAATTACTTAAAATCATTTATATCACGTAAAGAAATAACCTAACATTAACTTAGGTGCAGGTAACAGAAAATTGTAATTCAAAAATTTTTTTGGTTTTTTTATATTGTTTTGTATTTGTCCACATTTATTTACGCATTTTCTCTTATTTTGAAGGATTTTTTATTCTGTATAAAAAAAGCAAAAAAAATAGAAAAGTATGATTGTGCGTTTAATCGGTACAGACCTTGATATACATAACTGTCAAAATATACGATGACAGCTGCAAATGAAATAAGCGCAGCGAGAGAACCAATCGGCATCGCGGAAAAGCCACAACAATAAACTTTGATAGATTCGAGTATCGACTTTACATCTCTTTTTTAGATATGGTTGGATCGATGTTATAACTTCGGCGTAAATTAGGTTATGGGCATAAGCAGAATGGCTGTCTCGGCAATGTTTTATGCCTTAAGTCTTTGTCTTATGTAACGCACAATACTGTACAGCATTGTGCGTTACATAGACAAAGACTTAAGGCATAAAACACTGCCGAGACAGCCATTCTGCTTAGGCCCTAAGTAAACATATAGTCATTGTGCTTGTCAGATGCAGAGTCAGGTGGACATCATAGACTACGTTTACACGGCCCGATTTACGCCAAAGTTATAACATCGATGTTATAAGTTATAACTACTGACGTTAAATGCCGTGTAAACGCTCTTTTACGATGAAGTTACACATTAATGTAATTTATATGTTGTAACATTGATACACGGCTTCCAATAGGTTAAAAATCTATTGCCTATGTTATCCCTTATTCCTGTTGCCTGTACCTTTGTATTGTGCATCCAGCTTAAAGCTTCTAACTCATTTGTAAAAGCACAGTGTTATTTTTTCATGTAATCCCAAGTTGGAATTATGTTTGTTTTATACGTACAACATATAAAAATTTTATATAAAATGTCACGAGTTAAAAAAATTAACGAAAAGATTCCTTGTATGAAAAATATCACATTTAATTGGTAAAACAGACTTGTTAATTAATTTTTACGTCATTGAACTCCAGCGTCGCCTTAAAACTATATATCTAGGTTACAATAAAAAACTTCTTTTTAATATAAAAAGAAGCACAGACTTTTACATAACGCTTAATACATAATGCATAAACTAATCAGTTTATTTCTTCAAGCTAAAAATAAAA